GGCTGGGGCTGGGGCTGGGGCTGGGGGCATCTCCACCAGCGCCTCCCCCCTCCTTTTCCAGGGGCTGTAGCTGGACAGAGACTCCTGGCTGCCTTTCCTCTCTGGAGAGAGCCTGAGCTGGTCCTGCTGCTGCCCCTTCCCCTGCAATGAGAGAAACAGAGGCTGAGAGGCACTCAGAGAAGCAGAGAAAAGGAGAGCGAGTGAGAGACAGAGACGGGACTGACTCCTAAGGAGATGGGAAAGTCCCTGGCAGAGACAGGGCGTTGAGGTGGGAGGGGAGAGGCTCAGGCAGCCCAGGTCAGGACCACACCCATCAGCATGAAGATGGGGACTGGGGAGCCGATATCATGGCTCTTGGTCACTGACCACAGGGGAAGCTCTTTGGCAATATCAGAAAAGAAGAAGCCAGATTGTAAAAGGAAGTGCTGTTCATTCTGGGCAGGCATGTTTGGGGAGGGCTCCCACCTCCCAGTCCTCGGAAGGAGCCTGCTCCTGCCTCTCCGGTGGTCAGATTAGCCTGAGGCAGCCCCTCCACAGGCCTCCCCTCTGGCCTAGAGGCTCTGCTTGTTTTCTCATCCTCCCGAGGAGAGCAAGGCGATGGGTCTGCCCCTGCTGCTGCTCCTGCTGCTGCCCCTGCTGCCGCCAGCATCTCTGCAGGCTGGTGAGTGGCCAGGACCCCCTGGCTCTGACCAGGGCCCCAGGGGAGCCCCAGGGAGGGGCTGTGGCCAGCCAGGCTTCCCACCTGCAACAAGCAATGGCCTGGGCTGGTCCCACAGTGCTGGGTCCCCCACATCCCTCACCCTCCTTTCTAACCCCCCTGGAGAGGGGACACCCAGCCAGAGGGCCAGTCCTATTATCTGCCACACTTCCGCCCATAGGTGAGGGTGCCAGATGGTCCGGGGTTATCTTCTTGGTCCCTCCAAGTGGCTTCAAAGTCCATCCCTCTCCCTCCCTCCTCCAGGTGGCTCAGCAAAATGCACTTCAAACCTTGATTATGAAGTCAAACAACCAGAGCACCTCTCAGCCCCTGAGGGTGGCTCCATCGACATCCCCTTCTCCTTCTGTTACTCCTGGGAGTTAGCCAGTGATCCCAAAGTGGGTATATCCTGGAGATGGAGAGACTTCCATGGAGAGTTCATCTACAACACAACCCTGCAATTCACCCATGAGGATTTTAAAAACCGCCTCTCCCTGAACTGGACAAAGGGCCAGAGGAACGGCTCCCTCCGGATCTCTAACCTGCGGAGAGAGGATGAATGTAGCTACTTCGGCCGAGTCCAGTTGACCACACGGAACGAAGGCAAGAAGGTGTGGCAGTCCATCCCAGGGACCAAACTCACCATCACCACAGGTGAGTCCCGCTGCCCCGGCCTCTGGTGCCCTCGTCCCCCAGGACCGGTCCAGGCGCCTCTCTTCCTGACCTTTCTCTCAAACTCCTCTCCCTGCCCCTGACTGCTTCCCAGCCTCTGCCAGCTTTACCTTTTTCACCGTAATCTCCCCAAACATGGGCTGCCTTCCTTGCCCACCCCTCACTGCCCCACAGATCCAGCCCCACCGCCATCCCCAGGCTTCAGACCTTCCAGGCTCCCCGGTTATCCTCCTTCTTGCTCCGAGTTGGGGCTCCAGCCCTGCCTCCTGCCTTCACCCCATGTCCTCCAGGTGGACTTGACTTTTACAGGATGTGGCCTGCCTTTCCTTTGTCCTGTGTCTGCAGGTGGAGCCCCAGCTAGCCCCACGTCTGTGTCTCCCCACAGCCATGAGCTCAGCCTGGCACACACAGGAGGGACCCGATAGCGGCCCAAGGAATTCCCACCCCTCCCTCCACCCCTGGTAACACCCCAGTACCTGTTGTCCCAATTTCTCTGCTTTCTTTTCTCACTCTGCTCCCCAGAACATGGCCCATCTTCATCCTCTGAATTCTTTTTGTTTCTCACAGCAACCCCCCTAAGTCCTCACTCCCACCACACAAAGCCCTGTGTTGGCCCCTTCTCTCTCTGTCCTGGTTGTCAGAGGCCCCTCTGCGTCAGCAACAAGGCAGCTCCCACTTATGTGCCCTTGTCCCAACTGAACACTTTGGCATGCATCGCCCTAGTTACCCTGCACCACGACCCCGCAATTATAGTAGGAACCACTATCACCTTCCTGTTCCAGATGGGGAAACTGAGGCTTACACCTACACAAAGTCACTTTCATGGTGCAGGTGGAATTTGAACCCAGTTTAACCCCAGAGCCTCCTCTCTTAACCATTAGCCACTCAGTCTCACTTGGTCATCTTGTTGTCTTGACCTATTTTAACCTACTATGGGGTGTGCTTTATTAATAGATCTTCCTATATTACTCACTGGGTTGGGGGAAGTTGAAGGTGAGAAGGTGTGGCTTATCTGTCTCCAGGTTAGTGGGGGAGGGGCTCTCTCCCAGGCCCCAGCATAAAGGGGTGCATGGTAAGCTGATTTACTTTTTTACAAAATATATATTTTTATTGATTTCAGAGAGGAAGGGAGAAGGAGAGAGAGATAGAAACATCAATGATGAGAGAGAATCATTGATTGGCTGCCTCCTGCATGCCCCACACTGGGATCAAGCCCGCAACCCGGGCATATGCCTGGACCGGGAACTGAACTGGTGACCTCTTGGTTCCTGGGTTGATGCTAACCGCCGAGCCACACCCGGCTGGGCTCGATTTACTTTTTATAATCACTTGTGCTGGCAACTCTAACTACGTCAGTGATGAATCACTCCTCCCAGCCTGGGTAAATCCACTGCCCTGTCTTGGCCACAGAGCTGGTTTTAGATAATTTATAAAGTGGCTCACAACCTGAATTACACAAACAGACTTGGTTTTATTCTTCCTGCACCTTCTCCGTATCTCCTGTATTAATTTCTAGCAAGAGTAGCCAGAGAGTTTGATCCATGCTAACCTAAAGATTTTATTAGAGTTAGATTTTTTCTGTGGCTTAGTACTATATCAGTTTTTTAATGGTACATTAAACATCTTCAAAGGTACAATCTGTTTGTAGAAACTAAAGTTCAATATATATTAATGTAACTTTAAAAACATATTTCTAGTATATACTAGTGTTCTACAGATGTTTTCTCACTTATTAAAACAATCCTGCAGAAGACAATACTCTTCGATTCTACTTATATGAGGCATCTAGAGTAGTCAAATTCATAGACGCAGACAGTAGAATGGTGGGTGCCAGGGCTGGGATGAGGGTAATGGGAAGTTGTTTAATGGGGACAGATTTTCAGTTTGGGAAGATGACAAAGATCTGGAGATGGCTGATGGTGAGAGCTGCACAGCAATGTGAATGTACTTACTGCCACTGAACTGTACACTTAAATATGGTTAAAATGGTGCCTTAACCAGTTTGGCTCAGTGGATAGAGCATCGACCTGTGGACTGAAAGTCCCGGGTTCGATTTTGGTCAAGGGAATGTATCTTGGTTGTGGGCTCGATCCCCAGTAGGGGGCATGCAGGAGGCAGTTGATCTATGTTTCTAACTCCCTTCCTCTCTGTAAAATCAATAAAATATATATTTTTAAATATGGTTAATATGATCAATTTTATAGCGTGTGTCTTTTGCCACAATAATTTTTTTTTTAAATCCTATGATCTAGTTATCTCTATTTGTAGGTGATGAAATGAGGTTCTGAGGTCACACTATTGATTGGTGATAGATTCAGGATTTGAACTGAGTAATGTATGTGATAAGACTTCAGCATTTCACCTTGTTACTCCTCTCCTGGTGTGAGAGCTTCAGAGGGTTGCTCCCCACCCCCAGTGTTCCCCAAACTAGGGAACAGGATGTGACAGTTTCACCCAGATACTTCCAGTCCTCTAAGGAAGAATTTGCTTGTTTCTCATGTCTTCTCAGCCACTGAGAAAACCACCAAGGACCCCACCAGCACCACCAGCACCACCAGCACTACCACCACCACTGATGGCCTAGGTGTCTCGGGGGACAAATGGACATCAGGGTCTAGGCCCCTGGCTCCAGGAGCGATAGTTGGGGTGGCACTGGCGGGTGCCGTGCTCATAATCACAATTTTGGGATTGGCAGTCTACCTCAGGTGGAGGAGAAGCAAAGGTAAGTGGTCACAGACCCCACTCTCTCTCCAATCTTCCCAAACAGATGTTTCTCTGAATCCACCTGCATCAGAATGAACACAGGAGCCTGTTAAAATTGCAAAATCTTCCTGGGGTGAGGTCTGGACTTCAAGTGGTATTAACATTCTCCTCAAGTGGTGTCTGTGAGCAATCACGTTTGAGAACCACCACTCCAGACAAACCCCTCTCCACAAATCTGATCATTTTTCCAGGTCTTGGTTCTTGACTTAATAATTTATCGTTAGTCCTCACCTTTTGGTTCATGGGGAGGGGAGGATCTGCCCTGAGAAAAGTAAGGAGAGAGCAGATGGGACAGAAAGTTGGCTCAGCTCAGCAAACATTAGTGGGTGCACCTGTTCCAGGGCCTGGCTTGTGATTGGTTATCTATCTATATCTATAAAAAGGAGTGACCATGATCACTGAAACGACCGTTCGACCAGTCACCATGCGGTGCTAGCATAGATGCATAGACACAGGTAAAGTCTATGAGTGAACTAAGAATGTACAAGACAAATGCTTGCCTTCATGGAGCTCGCACTGTAAGAAGGTTAGGTCAGGGATGAGAATTCAAAATTGCCACCAGCACAGACCTGAGGTGCTGCTTCTCAGAGCGGCCAGAGATACACCCGGTAGTGGACTGGGAGCGTGACTGAAGGGCTGGCGCCAAGGTGAAAGCGGGGCCATTCTGGATTTCTCAGAGGAGCCAATGGCTTCTTAGGAGGCAGAGCTTTTGACACTGACTGGCATAGAAACCAACCAATCAGAACTTAATCTGGGTGAACTGCGAAGGCAGAACCTAAGGTGGGAGTTGAGGAGGGATTTTAAGGGCAACAGCTGTTTGGTGTAAGGTGTAAGAAAGCGGTTCACTTTTTTAAATAACCGGTTTGGCAATATAGTGCATATGGCTGGCTATCAGTCCAGATATAGGGGTTATGTATTTTTGTCAGCCAAGAGCATCTCCTCCTGCTGAAAAAGGCCCCCCCCCCGACCTTTTAAACAATCCTATCCTATATAATAAGAGAGGAATATGCTAATTAGCCGTTACACCCTGAGGCATAACGACCAAGCACAATCACGGATAAGCAAGAGGGTGGGCCAGTGAGGTATAAGAGGGCTGCAGAGAGCTATAGGAGGGGGTAGGGCAGCAAGCTATGAAGGGGGATGGGGGAGGGGGTGGGGGAGCTACAGGAGGGCAGGGCAGTGGGTGGAGAGCTACAGGAGGGCAGCAGTGACCTACTGGC